CCTGTCCTTATGCATCGCCACTGCCAAAATCAACCTCCTTGGGCAACATCGTCCTTTGGCAGGTGACAATCAGCGGAAACGTGTCTGGTTCAGTGACCATTCTTTTTATTTGTACCGGGTACAGTCCCAGGAAGTAAAGGCGGCCGACATGATGCTGACCACATCACCCATTTTGTGCTGATTGGTCTATAAAACATAGGTCTAGCCTTATGTGCCCTATATGCCTGAAGGGGCCTTTACTTTTTCTTTTTATACATTAAATATTAATTTCAAAGACACAGGAATTCTAGGTGTACAACAAAGCTTAAGAAGAAAGATACACATGTAAGATCTGGGTTGTAAACTAAAGATTTACAAGAAAGACATATGAAGTATGGATTGTAAACTTAAGATTACAATGAAAGACAACAGATGTCTTTCCTGCACTTTAAGTAAAGTACCCTTTTCCAAGGCTTCAAGCATATTGGGCATAAAAGGCTTATTTTATTGATTTGCCATGTTTGTGGTCAACAACCTACCAGATGCCTTTACTTCCCATGAATGTACCTGGTACCCATTCAAGGCTTGGTCGACCTGGGAGCCATGGTCAGTTCTGAAAGAATAAGTTCTGCACCATTCGGATTTGAACCCATGAACCTTGGAATTGCAGGCGAGTATCTCCTGCACACTAAAGATTGACAATAAACTGATTACTGATTTAAAAATCGACATCATAGCACACCGGGCATACCCATAGATGCTCCGTCTTCTGCAGCAAATGTCCTAATGTGTAGATGCTAACTGTTCCAATATCACGAAAACCTAAGACAAATGATATATGAGGAATTGCTTGTAGAAGAAAGATTAAGATGAAAAGTCTGCAAGGTACACTAAAGATTAGGATGAAAAGTCTGCAAGGTATACTAAAGATTAAGATGAAAAGTCTGCAAGACACACTAAAGATTAAGATGAAAAAGTCTGCAAGACACACTAAAGATTAAGATGAAAAGTTTGCAAGATACACTAAAGATTAAGATAAAAAGTCTGCAAGACACACTAAAGATTAAGATGAAAAAGTCTGCAAGACACACTAAAGATTAAGATGAAAAGTTTGCAAGACACACTAAAGATTAAAATGAAAAAGTCTGCAAGACACACTAAAGATTAAGATTAAAAGTTTGCAAGATGCACTAAAGATTAAGATGAACAAATGTAAGGTCAGGATACTAAGAACTTACGAAATTTTAAATGAATCTCGTTCTGATATAAAAGATTGAACTTCGTCATCTTCAGTCTTCTTGCCACATAAAAGCTCCATTGGTCTGACTGAGTTACTGTCATTGAACAGTCGCATAGCCACTTCAGGACAGCTGGCTGGGGACACAGACACAAATAATATATATACACCATTGTCACTTTAAAATTGACACTTTTCATATCACCCAGGATGTTTTAAAATCAAAGTGACAGATTGACTGACTTTCTACCCCACCAGGACATCACACAAGCGATAAACACCCGATGACACAAAGTGCCACCATGCGGATGAGGATCACCGTGGAGAGGTCCCAGAAACCGCGTTCAGACAATTGGCCATATCTATGGCCTGCATATATTGCGGCCCCTGGCAAAAGCCAGAGTGGGGCTTCAAATAAGAAAAAATTACGTCCTGAAAAGGACGTAAGTAAGTAGTAACAACATTTTTAAGTGACAGATTTTCAAATCAAACTGGATGATTCTCAAACCATCTAAAAAGTTTCTGAAATCAAACAAGAAATGTTTCAAACCAAACTGGCAACTATTTGTAAAACTTCATGGGTATACTGAAATTTTTGTAAAGTTCTGAAACAAAAATTATGTAATTCTTTCTAAAAAGTTCTTTAACTCTGAGTCCCAGGGGGTTTAGCATCACAGGACCAGGGGGTAGTAAAGAGAATCATAAAATCAGGCATCATTCATTAATTGGGCTTCTAGGTAGAAACATGTGAACGTATGATGCTTTGCTTGGGACTCATAGAGTTATTGATATACACACATATATATATATACATTGCATTGGCACCTTTCCATCTTAAGAGATGATAGTGTTATCTTGTGCTATGAGCAGGCATGGGACTCACAGCCCATGGCGATGGAATGTCTGACTAGCAAGACCTGCCCCTGTTAAGAAGTCTTCCATAATTAAAGCATGGGACTTCAGGACCATTGTTGTCAACGTTTGTGTTTAGTCTGTTTCTTCTCAGACGCTCAGCTCTCATCATTTCTATGATCATTTCTTCCTTCATTCTCATTCCCTTCCACACAATATGGTCCATCCTCCACTTTCCAGGTGTGACCCAGCCACCTGAGCCTTTGTAGACTGAGCATACAGAAGACTGTTGTAGTACCTGCTCTTTCCAATACCTCAGTGTTTGTGATCTTGTCCTGCCACTTAATGCCAAGTATTCTTCTTAGGCATCACACATGAAAGCTTTTTAGCCATTTCTCCTGTTGCGAATAGGCTGACCAAGTTTCACTGCCATAAAGCAGAGTGCTGAGAACACAAAAATGATAGACAAGAGTCTTTGTTTTAATCGTGAGCTTTTGGTTCTTCCAAACTTTCTTTGTTATGCTGCTTATTGTTGTTGCTGCCTTACACTCCTGATGTTTATTTCTTGGTCCAGCGATAGTTTGTCATTCACTGTGGAACCCAGGTAGGTAAAATACCGCTGGGGCACAGCTACAACTCCTAACCTGAACAGTTTGTGGTGACTGCCATGCAAATTTACATCCTTTTTCTCAAGCTCTTCCCCCCCCCCCCAATTCCTGGTAATCTTAGTTTCAGCTTCATAGCAAACGAGTCACCCCATAGTTGCTCTGCTCCTGTGACATAGAAAAACACACAGAATGTTTGTCGCAGTCCCTTGTGGAAAGATTGACAGACTGCTGTCTCAGCATATGCACTAGCATACACACGCATACTGTGGCCATCAGAAGTGCTAACACAAACAGTTTGACATAAGTAATGCAGTTCATAATCGACGGTAGCAGAAGTCGCCAACAGATCAGCAGCTGCGCACGCGATCAATATTAATCACATAAGGGCACCACCAATATTGCGGCAACAGACCACGCGCCATTTTCTGAATCTACAGTTCACAACACCACGTTGGTCACAGTCGAAATCTATTGCAAATGAAATCCGCAGCTCACAGGGTCGCGCCATGCACTCAACTCAGTAGCTGACGCTACAAAACTTCCCCAATCCTTCTTGTCCTACATCACCCCTAAAAGTGGTAAATACAGATATTAGGGCTTTTTTTTAATGGAGTTTTCTGTAAATTTACCTTGTCACTGCTTACCTCTTTCCTTTTTCCTCCCGTAGGTGCCCTCCAAGTTGAGGTCGGAGATCTCGACTAGAATCTTGTTGTCCCGCTTGCTGGCGTGGATGATCCACTCACACCTGATCAAAGATGAAAACTTGCCCAGAAAGTTTGGGCTCATGATGGTCCCCCCAGACCCTCTGGCGTGGATGATGCTTGTTGAACAAGCTGTGGTGGAGAAGAAAGTTGAAGATAAGGATCCATTTTCAGTCAAGAGATTTATTGTGCCTCTGTGTTACTGCGACATTCATAGGAAGCAAAGAACAGCAGTAACACAGCATCCTACCAAGCATGTCATAAGAGGTGACCTAAAGGTAGTGTTGAGTTTGGGTTTGGCTCCGACATTTCATAAAAACGATATACATTATTATTATATATATCTTACATAAATGGAGGTCTGAAGCAATAAAATGGCTGGAGACACAGACTTTTACTAGCACAGGCTTTCTCAGTAACTCAGTGAGCATGCTTAGGAATACAGAGATAGGGTGGGTCCCAAGACAATGATTGGACTCTCTGAAGCAGTCAGGGCTGCAACATATAAGTTTCACGCAGGTTTGGAAGGAATGAGCAAGCTGAAAAATTTGCAGATAAAGCTACTGTGGAGGGCAGATGAGCCATGGACCACGCAGATATTCTAAATGCTTTATGAAAAGTAAGACGTTTGCGAGAACTAGGTGATAACTGTGAATCTGCAACCACGACCAGACAAGAGCACTATGCAGGAAGCTAAAAAAGAATAAGAAACCAACACAGAACTGATAGTGTCTATTCTGAAACAAGAATGATAATGCCGTGAGGAAAAAGCAGAGAGGAGACCGTTTCGCTGATGCATCTCCTTTTACTTAGAGAACACAAGAATTGAATGTCTTTGTACTGTAACCAACAAGGGCATTTAAGTTCAGGCAGACCAATAAACAAAAAACAGAGAAGGTAGCTAGAGAGTGTCGTTAAAAAACAGGCAGGACATAGTGTGACTTTGTGCAATAGCAAAGGATAGGGTGACCTGACAGGAGTTGGCTGAAAGCCTCTGCTCCATTGGAGGATAAAGAGCAGAAGAAGAAGAGAGGTACTGAGTATTTTTTGTGTTATTACTTTACTCTGAGATCCGTCAGCACTTGATGCTTGATGTGGTCAGCCTCATATGCGCTACTTTTACTTACACAAACACAAACGTCCTAGTAATTGTTTTACCTAGGTCAGCTATAAACAAATGAAGAAATCAGAAGCCTTTGGTCTGAAGCCGGACATACATTTCATTAAAGAGCAAATCATGAAATAGGGTGGTTTGGGCAACTAAGGAAAATGCCCTGGTACCAACCCCCACAGAGAGCCATGATAAAGAAATATAAAAACAGAGAAAATGGAACAATGGCATCAAAAACAATAACATAGTAATGATTTTTTACAATGCTCTAGAAAGAACACATGAAGATCATTACATCTCCCTCCAGTACTCCGATGAGGTAAATGGAGAATGTGGGGAAGCAGCTAAAGGAAGGAAGAATCGAAGAGGAGGAAGGAGGACAAGTAGGAGTATATACAGTTTATATTGGTCTATTAAAATATGTCTAGAACCATATGCCCAATGTGCCACTGGCACACAAATGGCTGTTTACTTTCGACTACAAACACACTGTTAAAAAAAAAAGAACTTACTATTATCTATATCCTGCCGCCGTATAAATTTATAAGTGGCCTTAAAACCAACGTTAGACATGCGGTCATCAGAATGGAATATCAGCTTCAGTAGTCGAGTTGTTGCGTAGGGTCCTGGCAACTGCTGTCCACAGTATTTCTCTGTGAGAGTGAAGTTCTCCCGGTTGAAGGAACCCATGTCTTCGTAGAACTCTATGTAATCCTCAGAGTCACACCTGCAGATACAATCAGATTGTAAAAAGAGTGTAATATTAAATAAATCTAAATAAAGGAAAAGTTGAATTGAAATTTTACACAAAAATTCTGAGAATACTGTGGTGTGGACTAAGAAGAAGACAATAAATCTCACATTCGACATGATCTGAACATCAAGGAGAACTGGCTCATAAACAGAATCCTGTACTTAAAGTGTAATACTAAATAACTGTGAGTAAAGGAAAAACTGAATTGAAATTCTGAGAACACCATGAGCAAGAAAAAAATCTTGACAACCTGCATGATCTGAACATCTTGGAGAACTGGCTCATAAACAGTATCTATCTTAAAAGCTGAGGTCTTTTCATCATATTAAATGTTATGTGGCCTAAAAAAAAATCAGTGATGGAGGTTACAGTTCTGGAAAAAAGAGGCAGAGTCTTCTTCTTCTTCTTCTCTTCCACCTTGTACCTCATCGAAGTGTCGAAGGGGGATGTAATGTTCTTTGATGAGCTCTGTCAAAAGCACTATTAAGACTGATGTTCATTTCTGTAAGGCTGTTCTTAATGCCATCACTCCATATTTTTCGAGGTCTTTCACTCGCTCCATACCCCTTGTAACGTTTTGTTGTGTTCTTTCCTTGAAACTCCTGCAGCTCTTCTAAGGCATTTCATCTCTGTTGTCACAATTTTACATTCATTTGAGGATGTAAGTGTCCACGTTTGGCACTGATAGCATAGTGTTGGCCAAAAAATAGTTGTGATAAGATTCACTTTAGTACTCGGAGGCAGAGGCTGACCATTGCAAAGGTTGATACAAAATAAGACGTTGAAGAAGCACTTGCTAAAAAAACTGGCTAGAGATGCAGGGATTTTCAGATGGGCTTGAAGAGAATGGTCTCATTTTGTGTCTTCCTGTATTGTGAGTCTTGTTTGTTGTTGTTTGTTTTAGTATTCAGAAGCCATGAGTTGTTAACCCTTAGGCTCGGTATTATGGATATCGTAACCTTTCGGTCTTGATTCCATTTTAAATACCATAAATCTGGGAGAAAATGTGGCTTTCCTGCCTACCCCTGGGAGTAAACCCTGACCACAAGGAGTTCGTCACCTGGTCTCCGTGCAATCCGGTTTAGCCAACTACGCTAGAGAGCCGAGCTATTGTCAGTCTTCTCTCCACTGTCCTCTCAGTTTGCATTGTGGTCAACGGCCCTTTATCTCCCTTGTGTACACAGTTATTTACCTCTCTTTCTCTGACATTCTCTCAGTACGCCCCAGCCTTTTCAGTCTTTTAGCCCTCATGATCAATGGTGTTTTAAACAGGTTTTGAAATTCCCTGTCGCTTCTCACTCTCAGTTCACCAGTATCTGCATGTGTAATGGGTCCAAAGATTCGCCTTAAAATTCTTATTTTCACAAGTTTTAATAAGGCTTCATCTGTTTTAGTTGTGCTCCACTTAAACTGTTAATGAATCTTAAATACATTAAACCAAACACATTCATTAATTACTGTGGATGCAGATTAGTAGGTTTTGGGGCCACATTGGATGGGAGTGGGTAGGAACAAACCCATTGCTCCCTAACAAGAATGCACTAAAAGCAACTAACGAGAATAATAAGAGGTGTTGTTGCTGAAATCAGATATACAGAGCCATTGTTTGCACATTTCTGTTTTTCCAGACGATAGTGTCCTACTACTGTGCTATAGAGAGGCGCATAATGATGACGAGTGTGGCAGGCAAGACCCACATACATTAAGAAAAGTTTCCCACAATCCAAATGTGGTATTTCAGGACTGTTACTGCCATCGTATTTATTTAGTATGTTTCTTCTAAGTCGCTCATCTCTAAAGTATCTGCAATCATCCTGTTCCTTATTCGCATTCCCTTGCTGATCTCCATGCAACACAGTCCTTGACATTTTGTTACCATAAATCTGATCTCAATGCCTGTATTCTTCATATCCTGTGTGGACACATTTGTACACCCTAGCAGAGGTCGATCTCGACATATTGGGCCAAAAGGAGCAGACATCGCAGCCTAGCTGTTAACCACAACACAATGTACAAGCCACACTTTTATGGGCTTGTGCAGCAGCAAAAAAAGTACTACTAATAAAAAACAAAATCTTTTCAAAGGGAGGGGAAAAACTCAGAAAGTAAGGAATGAATGAAGGAAGGAGCTTTCACTTGCCACTTTGCACGACTGAAACTAAAAAAAACACATTTAGTTAATGGAAAGAAAAAATAACTGGTTTCCTTTTTACTAAACGACATGTGAAAATAAGGTTTATTTCTGGGATGATTAAAAAAAACTAACAAGTTTGTTATTTCCTGGGTATTAAGTAACTTGACATAATTAGAACCAGAAATAAGTAAAAGCTGACATGGTTGCTAATTAATTACAGCCAATCTGTTCAATTTAAAATAACATGCGTGCTCCAGTATCTTTCATGGTGCCACTTTTTACTATTGTCCGAAAACAAAAATAATACCCTCCCCCCCCCCCACCCCCCCCCCCCCCCCCCCCCCCCCCCCCCGTACACACACACACAAAAGCAGAAACTCTCCTCCACAGAAACTTCTTCTACTTCTTCTTCTCTTCCACCTTGTACTTCATCTAAATGTCGGGGGGAGATGTAATGTACGTTGATGAGCTCTGTCAAGAGCACTATTAAGACTGATGTTCATTTCTGTAAGGCTGTTCTTAATGCCATCACTCCATCTTTTCCGAGGTTTCCACAGAAACTAAACCCTAGTAATTAAGGATCGTGAAACTGTTAAATATTTTCACTACCCTCCAAGCCACAGTGCTGCAGAAATGTTGAATACAGGATGATCAATCAATCGGTTTGTCCCATCCGGGCTGCTACCATCCGAGTTCACCCTACCGTCCTGATATTAAAAATGTTAATCTGGACATCTGGCTGGCATAGATACACAGTTCAACACCCACAGAAGTTATAATGAGGGCACCTGTAGAGGCTACATCAGCTAGGAGCGACCTCCAACCTTGTGCTGGCAAGGTCGATACAGGCAGTTGCTAAATACAGGCCAAAAATGGCTAGGTCTAGGTTACTGCTTGGTAAGGAGCGATGTAAGGGTAGAGATGGATTGTAGCAAATATATGAGGAGAGGCGACTGGACACAGAGAAAACAGATGAGTTTGGGGAGGTGAGGGTTATACCAGGGTATAAGTTGTGTTTAAATGCTTAATAACAATTCTTCTTCTTCTTCGCGTTCACCAGCTGTAAACTCCGGCAGAAAGTTATGGTTGTTCGTCCACTTCTGGACTGCAGTCCTCTTCCAGACCCTGAATGTTGCCTGTGCATCCATTTTACAGATCTGACTCATTTGTATGCAGACTGCTGGTTCCTTGCATCTCAGGCACATGCACTCTGACTTCGAATAAAGCCCCAAATTAGTCGACTCTTACGACATGCTTTTGGGTAGGCAGTAGGTCTATTCTTGTTTTCCGTATAATAGGGCCCCGGAACCCACACGGGGAGCTTAATAACAATAAAATAGATAATATTAAAAAGTGATTAATTACAGGTTCACAGTGTTGAGCTAAAAGACTGTTACCTAGCTGTAAGCTACAGCATAACATACCAGCCACCCTTGTAAATACAATTTAGAACAATGTTAATGAAAAGATGCAAACGATAATGTGCAACAAAATACATCTGAAACAATATGATATATGTAACAAAACAAAGCACACCCAAAAAAAAAGGGGGGAGGGGGGGGACAAACTGAGTCTATTCTCCCTTTCACATCCCATGGGGCCCCATAGTTAACACTGGGAGGTGCTGCTTTCAGAGTGTTCAACTCTTTCAGCGCCAAACAATGCATCATGCATATCTTGGTCATTGCTAAGAGATACAATGTTGTTGCTGTAATCCATCACAGACGGTCACTGAGTTAACAACTTTGTATTTGAATCATTAGTTCAGGGTTATTCAGCTTAGTTTACTTTAGGGCCAAAATGTTGAAAATGGGAATTGTCACGGGCCAGAAGCCTGAGCCTCGGCATAGAAAGATCATCAATACAACTAGCAATGATCCCAGGGCCACTTGCTAGGTCCAATTTGGTCTGTGGGCTGCCAGTTGAAAAACCCTGCATTATTATAAGTACTTCTGCTCCCTGGTTTCTATGGTGAATTTCTTCAGTACAAACTATTTATTATTTTTAAGTTTAGCTCTGTATAACAGAGGGAGTAAGTTTCAACTGTTTGGGACCCTTGAAAGTGATAATCAAAAACAAAACAAAAAAAACTGTAAAGACCTTAAAAAAATGCCACTCCTGCCTGTCTGATTTGTAACAGGCCAAGATGTATTCCTGATCTGGTAATCTGGTAATCTTAGTTTCAGCTTCATAGCAAACGGGTCACCCCATAGTTGCTCCGCTCCTGTGCCAACGAAAAACACACAGAATGTCCATCACAGTCACTTGTGGAAAGATTGACAGACTGCTGTCTCAGCATATCTAGCATACACCGGCATTAAAAGCATACGGCAGCCATTCGAAGTGTGAACACAAACAGTCTGACATTAGAAATGCAGTTCATCATGGATGGTAGCAGAAGTCACCAACAGATCAGCGGTTGCACACGCAATCAATTTTATTCACATAATGGCACCACCAATATTACGACATCAGGCATCGAGCCATTTTCTGAATCTACAATTCACACCACCATGCTGGTCACAGTGGAAAAACATTCCAAATGAAATTTGCAGCTCACAGTGTCACGCCATGCACTGAACTCAGAAGCTGGGTGACGATATTATATCCTTTCAGTCTAAAAGTAGAGCAAAAATGCAACGGCCACTGTCTGGCAGAAGCAAAAAATGTGCCACGGCTCGAAACAGTGGCTATGCCTAGCGTTCATTTTGACTGAATATCCTGAGGAGCAGCTGGCCAAGCAGTTAAAACCCTAGGTCCTCAAGCGGGAGACCTGTGTTCCAAATTCTCGGTTAAGGCTAGGAATTCTTTTCTCTTGGTGGCAAAAATACAATTCTAACCTGCACAGTCAATGGCGACAGCACTAGTCTTGCGGCCCTAAATCCTCAGACTCAAAGACACCCACAACACCCCCTCCACCCCCTTTTTTTAACAATGCATAAGTAGTACATACTTGCAGTAATGAAAGTTTTTTTTTCTTCAGATCTTTTCCTGGAATGGAAGTGTGGAGATTTTCCCTTGAATTTCACAAAAGGTCTCGCTATTCTTATTAAATGGAACAGTTGCAAAATGTAATTTAGATAGAACTTCCAGAGCATACTTACGGAGGACTTGTAGACTTGGACATGACGAACACGGAGAAGCTGAGGACGGTAATATGTTCTGGCAGTGGACGGAAGATGTATTCACAGTCCAGTTTCAGGGGGTAGATGTTGGGGTGTCTGGGGGAGTTGACCGTTCCCTGTGTTGTCCTGGCGTTGTTGTAGTGGAACTTGCACTTGCCTTCTTCTATCTGCTCACCTTGGATGTCGTAGTCTGCACAGAGACAATTTAAAAGAGAGAATGACAGATAAACTGAGAGACAACAATTGCATACACTAAAGAGCTGAATGGGAGTAGACCATGAGAGCACATCAGAAGGAGACATGTCTACATTCTTCTGTCATGCCATGGGAAGGTTCTGTCATGTCATGGGAAGGTTCTGTCATGCCATGGGAAGGATCTGTCATGCCATGGGAAGGATCTGTCATGCCATGGGAAGGAACTGTCATGCCATGGGAAGGATCTGTCATGCCATGGGAAGGATCTGTCATGTCATGGGAAGGTTCTGTCATGCCATGGGAAAGGTTCTGTCATGCCATGGGAAGGTTCTGTCATGCCATGGGAAGGATCTGTCATGCCATGGAAAGGTTCTGTCATGCCATGGGAAGTTCACCGTGACATGTGAAGGTTCTGTCCTGCCACGGGAGGAAAGAGTCAAGCCAAGGGGAAGTTCTGTCATGCTGGAGTAGATCTGTCAAACTCCTAAATGTGTCAATGGAAAGGAATACACATGGGTGTCCGTTCTGTCATGCCATGGGAAGGTTCTGTCATGCCATACTAAGGATCTGTCCTTCCATGGGGAAAGATCTGTCATCCATGGGAAGGAACCTGTCATGCCATGGGAAGGATCTGTCCTGCCAAGCGGAAGGATCTGTCTGCCGGAAGGATCTCCTGCCATGGGAACCCCCTGTCCTGCCAAGAAGAAGTCATGCCATGGGAAGGATAGGTCATGCCATGGGAAGGATCTGTCAAGAAGAAAGGATCTGTCCTACCATGGGAAGGAGAAAATTGGAGACAACCGTGACAGTGGGGAAGTAGAAGAGAAAAGAGGCAAAGAAGACTAAGAGACAAGATGCTGGAGTAGATTTTAAACTCCAAAAGAAAATACCAAAGAACGGGTGTCCGAAGAAGAGACCAGAAGAAAATTACTAGAAGTCAAAAAAGAAAGGCGTTCACCAGGGCGGGAAAAGGACCTCCAGAACTCGAAGCGGCCAAGAAGGGAGACCACTCAGCCCCCCCCCCCTCCCAGGAAGAAGAAGGGGAAGGAGAAGAAGAAGAAGAAGAAGAAGAAGAAAAAGAAGAAGAAGAAGAAAAAAAAAGAAGAAGGGGAGGAGGAGGACGGGAAGAGGAAGAAGAATAAATTGGGGGAGGAGAAGAACAAGAACAAGCTAGATGCTCGCCTACACATTGAAAGGTCGGGGGTTTGGGTACTGACAGTGCCAGATTTTTGTCAAAAATGACACTGGCTCTCTCAAATAGGCACTATATATGGTCATGGGAAGTAAAAACGGCTGGTGTGAAGTTGACCACATCGCCCACTGAGTACCGATTGTTTAATAAAAAAATATAGGTCTAGCCCTATATGCCAGAATACGCCTGAAGGCGTGGAAAAAAATAGTTGCGTATCCTCTACAGGAAGTTGCAGAACCAACACCAGCATTGTTTGTTGTTGGCTGGGCTAGTTTTTCTAGGCAAATTTTACGTTCAATAGTTTGCTGTTGCTACTGTACGGTCAGCTTTATGTACCACTGTTGAAACCAGCGCAAGACAAATCGTCCGCAGCTGGGATCGAGCCCGGACACCCCGGCATTACGAAGCACGTTCGCAACGCCTAAGCCACAGACGCCGACAGGCGTGGAAAAACCTCGGTTCTTCATTCATTCATTCATTCATTCATTCATTCATTCATTCATTCATTCATTCATTCATTCATTCATTCTTTCAGGTGGCTATCACAATATCAAACACATAATTCCAAATACACACCTGTAATAAATGCATATTTGGCGAAGAACTTGCCCCCGTGGATGGCCCCTGTTGTGTTGAGTGTGATCACCATTCGTGGGCCCCATACTGGTGATGACTGGGGGGTTATAGCTGCCACAGTATTTGTTCTTCACTGCACCTTCACTCAGTCTTCCGTCTTCGTTCTCACCTAGGTATCCCAGCAAGCAGCTGCAACATACATCAAGGTAAGGTTACCTGTATGAGGGCTGTGGGTACCTACACCTGTAGGGAGGCTGTGGGTGCCTACACCTGTATGGAGGCTGTGGGTACCTACACCTGTATGGAGGCTGTGGGTGCCTACACCTGTATGGGGGCTGTGTGTGCCTACACCTGTATAGAGGCTGTGGGTGCCTACACCTGTATGGAGGCTGTGGGTACCTACACCTGTATGGGGGGCTGTGGGTACCTACACCTGTATGGAGGCTGTGGGTGCCTACACCTGTATAGAGGCTGGGGGTGCCTACACCTGTATGATGGCTGTGGGTACCTACACCTGTATGGAGGCTGTGGGTACCTACACCTGTATGGAGGCTGTTGCCTACATTCTTATGGAGCTGTTCTATGTACACCTGTATGCTATATGGTCTGTGGGTACCTAACCTGTATGGAACACCATAAGGCTGTGGGTGCCTACACCTGTGTGGAGGCTGTGGGTACCTACACCTCCTGTATGAGGGCTGTGGGTACCTACACCTGTATGGAGGCTGTGGGTGCCTACACCTGTATGGAGGCTGTGGGTACCTACACCTGTATGGAGGCTGTGGGTGCCTACACCTATATGGTGGCTGTGGGTACCTACACCTGTATTCGGGTGCACCCATGGAGGCTGTGGTGCCTGACTGTATGGAGGGGGTACCTACACCTCCTGTATAGGGCTGGGCTACACTTAGTAGGCTGTGGGTGCCTCTGTTGGAGGCTGTGGGTGCACCTGTTCTGTGGGTGCCTACACCTTCTGTATCTGTGGGTGCCTACACCTGTATGGAGGCTGTGGGTCTACACCTGTATGGAGGCTGTAGGTGCCTACACCTATATGGAGGCTGTGGGTGCCTACACCTGTATGGAGGCTATGGGTGCCTACACCTCCTGTATGAGGGCTGTGGGTGCCTACACCCCCTGTATGAGGGCTGTGGGTGCCTACACCTGTATGGGGGATGTGGGTACCTACACCTGTATGGAGGCTGTGGGTGCCTACACCTGTATGGGGGCTGTGGGTGCCTACACCTGTATGGGGGATGTGGGTACCTACACCTGTATGGTGGCTATGGTAACCTACACCTGTATGGAGGGTGTGGGTGCCTACACCTGTATGGAGGGTGTGGGTGCCTACACCTGTATGGAGGGTGTTTAGTTTAGTTGAGTCGAGAATTGACATCACAGCACTTGAGGCATTCCGATGCATGCTCCGTCCTCATCCTCAGCAGCCAGCGCAGAGTTCCAATACTGATGGTACAGATCACAATCTGGTTAAAAGTCCACCTTGTCTTTCCTCTGGATACACCCAGGTGCCTCATTCTCTCTAGGCCATAATAATCTTATTTCTCTACTGATTCCGTTGCTTGTATATGTTTATGTATGGGGGAGGGGGGAGGGGCTTGTGGGTACTTACACCTGTATGGGGGCTGTGGGTACCTACACCTGTATGGTGTGTGGATACACACACCTGTATGAGGGCTATGGATATACATACCTGTATGGAGGCTGTGAATATACATACACACAAGTGTATGGGAGCTTTGGATACACACACGTGTTTGGGGGCTTTGGATACACACACATGTATGGAGGCTATCGATACAAACACATGTATGGAAGCTATGGATACACACACATGTATGGAGGCTATCGATACACACACATATATAGGGGCTATGGATAGACACACATGTATGGGGGCTAGACACACAGCTGTATGGAGGCTGGAGGTAGACACACAGCTGTATGGAAGCGGTGGGTAGACACACAGCTGTATGGAGGCGGGAGTTAGACACACAGCTGTATGGAAGCTGGAGGTAGACACACAGCTGTAATGAGGCTGTGGGTAGACACACAGCTGTATGGAGACTGGAGGTAGACACAGCTGTATGGAGGCTGGAGGTAGACACACAGCTGTATGGAAGCTGTGGGTAGACACACAGCTGTATGAAGACTGGAGGTAGACACACAGCTGTATGGAGGCTGTGGGTAGACACACAGCTGTATGGAGGCGGGAGGTAGACACACAACTGTATGGAGGCTGTTGGTAGACACACAGCTGTAAGGAGACGGGAGGTAGACACACAGCTGTATGGAGGCTGGAGGTAGACACACAGCTGTATGGAGGCGGGAGGTAGACACACAGCTGTATGGAGGCGGGAGGTAGACGCACAGCCGTGTGGAGGCTGTGGGCAGACACACAGCTGTATTTAGGCGGGAGGTAGACACACAGCTGTATGGAGGCGGGAGGTAGACACTCAGCTGTATGGAGGCGGGAGGTAGACACACAGCTGTATTGAGGCTGGGGTAGACACACAGCTGTATGGAGGCGGGAGGTAGACACACAGCTGTATGGAGGCGGGAGGTAGACATACAGCTGTATGGAGGCGGGAGGTAGACATACAGCTGTATGCCAGCTAATTACTGGTATCATGACAGCTAACAGACTGCAATGGTTGGGGCTTTCAAAGAGAATGTCAGAAAATAAAATAACACAAACTGCCGCAGACACAAAAGAGTTGAACTGGAGTAGACTAAGCTGCAGACCAAGAAGACGGTGCACAGATAATATCTACAAATACAGGGTATTTTTTGAGACATTTAATTAGCTACAATAGTCACTGCAGGAAAGTACCAATGAAATATTCATCTACAACTATCCGTGAGCATCGATTATTTCGAAACATGTTTACAACCCAAATACTGTGGTTCACTGAATATTACTTTCCATGTGTCTGCGGAGCACATATTTTGATGACGTCAAGCAGTTCATTTTTCCCATTCAAAGTACAGTGGGACTTTACAAACACCCTGTACTAAGACACCAACAACTGGAAAGAGGTCAATCACAGAGATCAATTGAGGAAAAAGGGGGGGGGGGGGGGGGGGGGGGGGGGGGGGAGGGGAGAGAAGGGGTTGATATCTGCAGCAATGAACCTCAAGTAATGATGATTTTTCCGTCTCAAGAGATTGGGAATGGTTTTGATGTTTTCCTCTGCTCTATATGTGAGATAAATGATACGGGCTGTCTCGAAAATCCAGCATGGGTGAATGTCCTCAACAGAACTTAAATAAAGGTCAACGAGGTTCCAGATCTGTGCCTAAGGCACATGATGATACAATGACGATGATGATGAGGTTGATGGTGATGATTATGATGTTGGTGGTGGTTGCGGTAGTGACGATGATGACAGAAGTGGTGTTAATGATGATGGTGGTGTTGGTGATAATGGTGGTAATTAAAATGATGGTGGTAGCAATGATTACGATGGTGATGATGATGATGATGATAATCATGATGCTAATGATGGTAATAATTATGATGATCACGATGACGGTGTTAATGATGATGTTGGTGGTGACAACGATGCTATAGTGGTGATAGTAAAGAAGACAGTAGCGATAATGGTGATGATAATGATGATATAGAAGATGATGATGAAGATGGCGGTGATAGTAATGACAACGACAACAGTTTAGACTGGCAGGTGGAACAAAAACTCAATAAAACTCACTATGGCATATTTCCAGGAATGTTAAAGTCATAAAAACTGACTTTGACCTTCTCCAAGTTCTGCTCGTCCATCAACCCGTCCATATAGTACCGGCAAATGAGACCTTCTCTGAAGTTGCCCGGGAAACCAGGAGAAACGAACGTTCCGTTTGTTTCCTTACCACTCATGATCCGCAAGTCACACTGAGTGCCCGGAACATGTTCGGCGCCATCTTTGATAAAATGTTCATCTGTAGAAAAGATGTTTGTTTTAGTAGCTTTAAGGTAAGATTATTTATGTTAAACTGCGACATAACTTGGGCAATGCGCCACATCTTAGTTTACAAATGAAACAGTCACGACAGAAATCTAATGTTTACATATTATGCAGGGTTTAACAAGGAAAAATCGATTTAGGGATGATTATATATCAGCAGGAGAGTCGACACCGAACCAGGACTGAACTTTATGGAAAGACAACTGATCAAATGGTGTGGCAATGAAACAAGAATGGAAACAGACAGGGTACCACAAAGAGAAATTGTATACAGATAAAGCAGTAGCAGAGCCAGAGATCGACCACGCAGTAAATGGAAGTATCAAAGACACTGACAAGTATTTTATGCGAAGCGAACAGACGGGCCCGATCCGGAGATCTCTGCCTGCCTTGAAGCTGCAAGGCATTCCAGGGGCAGAGAAAAGTAAAAAGAGAAGATGTACAGTCCCGTGCAATAGATTTTCTCAGTTTGATGCAAGTCTTCGATAAGCTGCCCTTAGTAACTTTTCGCTGTCAGATCAAAAGTTCAAATTGTATTTTGATTTCGATGCTTATATCGTCCCAGCTACGGTGCCGCCGGATGCCACCGCATCTCTGTATCATAGCGCGGCACAGATAAAACAGAAACTCGTTATATCCAAAACATTTTAATCTGAAACACGTAAAACTCCCGATATATGTTGTCTTTGATAACTCACCAGCAATAAGAGAAGGAACAGAGGAAAGAATACTAGTATTAGAGATCCAGGCCTCGGTACACTAAAGCAGATAGGCAAGCGGATTGTCTTAGTCATGGCAAGTTATTTGCTTCTAGTCACACATGTAGCTGTTGCATTTTTCTCTATATGTGGTTTGAAAGTATTTAGTCCCGTCGCCCAGTTACGGAGCTGAATGGATTCTGTTACGCTGGCATTTGAGAATTTCATGTTGATTGCATTTTGACTGTGCCCAACGTGGTCAGTGTTGTGAATTGCAGATTCAGAAAATAGCGACTGGTCCGATCTCACAAAATAAGTGACGCATTATGCAATAAATTGCGTGTACAATCACTGTGTCATTGCTGCATCCATCGACGATACACTCTAATTCCTGCGAGGGACTGCTTGAGTTAGCACCCCTGATGACTTTTTTATGTATTTAATAAGTGTTTATGATATTAGCTTTGCAGAGTAGCCTCTTTTATTTTCTTCGCAATGGACAGAGATGATCATTCTCTGTAAACTGTTGCTGGAACAGCAGAGGAGCAGCAGTGTGTGACCATCAGCTGTGTGTCTGAAACTGTCTTTAACTGATTGGCCAGACCGTGTCTGAATAACATTACAGGACAGAGAATTCAATGGTTGGACTATCTAGAAAAAATGCAGCCATTGATCTGTATATGATCCCTGCTACAGCAGAACAAGTTGGTGGAAGGAGACAGGAAAACCACGAAAGAGATGGATAGATGGCGTGGCTGAATCCTGAAATAAAAAGATGAACAAATCCATCAAGCTAGCCACTTGAGAAGCCCACAACAGATACAGGAACCACGACACTGGTGTTCTACAATTCAGAGGAGCAGAAAAAAAAACATTGTACAATTTGTATAAAAGGTCATTAAAAAAAAATTCTTTTTACGTGTACACATCCACTTATAAACATGCGCACGCGCGTGCGTGCCTACACCCATATATATATATTTAAAGACACATGAAAACATTTACATGTAAGTAAAACATGTACCCAAACAGACACAGACATTAGACACACACACACATACACACAAACATGCAGCACTGACCTAATTTGACAAAATCCTCACTGAAAACGTATGATATATTGAACCCTCTCCGAGCGAACCTAAAGTCGGCACTAGCTCCCAGTGGTGGAGCAGTAAAGTTCAACCTCCCCTCGCCGGTGACGAAGTCCAACCACAGAGCTTCTCCCTTGGAGAAAATGACCGTGGACTGGTTGAAGCTGCCGCAGAAGGTCCCAATGACGGGTGTTGCTGCCGTGTTTGTATATCCATCGTAGATCCTCAAATAGTCAAAAGGACAACTGTGGATACAATAGTTGGCAAGCTGTCTGGGTTAACTTGTTTCAGTAAAACGGAGACGTTTGGCTTCTCCTAATTTTACACACCATTGAGGCCCTGTTAGGGTATCTTCTTAGCCTCGATAATTTAGGACAGTTATTCGGCTGATAGCCTAAAAATGATAACTGTGGTATAGATTAATATCTTTCATTAGTACCACTAACCAGGGCTTGTTACTGGGGTACACAGTACCGGCACCATTTTGTAGGCATATTTTTTGTTGTCAGCGTTACTGTAACAGATACTGAGCGGTAAGTACAGGCACCTTTTTGGACGATTTGCAGTTAGTACCGGCACCCTTTGTCTGGGGGTGGGGGAGTCCTGCCACTAAAAAAAAAAACTATTAATAAAATACGGGGATCTCAGCACATAATATTTCCAAGAGTAAATTACGTATGTGCGTCGTATCTACTGCATACTCAGTTCTATTGCAAAGACTTAAAAAACCGAAATAATGTCCAGAACAAGTTGGACAAACTAGAAAGCTTCAACTAGTACCGGACTGCAGGGTCATCATCATCGTGTGCTGTGACGACGAGCGCAGGCTGCCATGTTTCGCCATACCACACGATCATCAGAATTACAGATCAGGTCAATGTTCTTGTCTCACCCCCATCCGTATAACTAAGCCATCCGGGTATTTGTCTCTTTGCCTTAAAGTTAGTTGCGTCCCTTTACATGATGTTGCAGAACCAACCCTAACATTGTTTGGCTCTCGTTGTTTTCTGGACAAATTTTACTTTCAATAGTTTGCCAGTGCTCTCCTAAACGGTCAGCTCTAGGTAGCACTGTCGAAACCAACGCAAGACAAATCGTCCGCAGCTGGGATCGAAGCCGGCATCCCGGCATTCGCAACGTCTAAGCCACAGACGGCGACCTTTTTTTCTTCCTCAAACTTGTGTTATATTGTGATATATGTACATGAATCCTCCAGGCCTTCAAGATGACCTTTCTGAAGAATTTAAGTTAATCAAGATCCAGTTTCTGCCTCCCAACACCACTCCGTTACTCCAGCCCATGGACCAGTAAGTTATTTCTAACTTTAAGAAGCTCTAAACCAAAGTACTCTTCCTGCATTGTTTTCATGTGATTAAAGGGACCAACATCACTTTCAAGAATTTTGGAAAAATCCCTTTCACATCGTTGCCTGCCTCAAGATGATCGACAATGCGGGTGAAGGGTTTACCAAGAGAACCCTAACTTCTTCTTGGAAGAAGCTTTGGCCTGTCAGCGTTGTCGAATGTGTGACTTTGAGGGGTTCGAGACAGTACCCGTGGAACCTGTAGTCAAAGAGATTGTGTCTTTGGCCACTATCATGGGATTGTAGGTGGATAACAGTGATATCTAAGAGCTTGTGGAAGAGCACAGCCAAGAGCTGACCACACAAGAGCTTATGGAATTGCATTGTGTTTCACAGCAAGAAGTTTGGAGGACAGTTTGTCAGAGGAGGAGGTAACATAAAACCATCAATCTTCTGACGAATTAAAGAAATGCTGAAAGCGTGGAAAACTGTTGCATCTTACATTGAGAAGCATCACCCTAATAAGGAAGTGGCTATGCCGCTGCAAATTTATTTAATGATAATGCTGTGTCGCATTTTCACCAAATTTTGAAGCATCGGCAAAAAACAAATATGTCTCTGGACATCTTTCTAGTAAAAATATAATTAGCTATGCATCATAATTATTGCGACTTTTTTCCCCCCTGCAAATCAAATTCGCATTCCAGGTGGGTTCGTTACGCGTTTGAAGAAAAGGGAAAGGTGATTCACTCTCCTTAACAATATGTTTATAAATTTAAAAAAAAAAAAAGTTATACATAACATTTTTTGAGTATTTCTTTCGAATTTTACATTAATTTATATGAGGAAAAATGTTTCGCATAGCGAGTGTTTCGCTTAACGAGTATGATTCTCGAACGAATTATGCTCGTTAAGCGAGGTTCCACTGTAATAATAAAAAAAATTTGCGTCCCACACTGGGACGGGAATTGAAAGTGCAATAAGGGTTTTAAAAAAATTGGTGGGGGGGGGGGGGGGGGGGGAGGGGGGGGGGGGGGGGGGGGGGGGGCAGACAAGTCAGACAGACAGATAGACTGACATAGATTCTCTGCCAAGGGAGTTCTTGCTAGAGTTTACTCATTTGTGCAATTTTCGGATTTATTAATCACCCAAACTGCATGCGATCAGGGAAAGACTGATGTATAACAATAATATACGAGACAAGATTATGTAATCTTGTAAGGTATGTAGAGCACCGACTGCAGCTAATGCTAAAGTATTCCTTGCCAGCACAGAACTGCAGGTTATACCGGGTTGGTTTGGCTGTTACGGGTGTCTTGATTATAGCTTTCTTGGAGGTTGAACGGGGTATCTGAGCTTGTTCTTTTGGTCTGCCATCCAAGTTGAAATCTTTTGATTTCAGTCTGTTTGGATAGCAGCCAGGAAGGTATAAACGGCAAGCACACACCAGTGCTACATGATTATTCCATGAATGCATTAAACTTGTTTCTAGCCAAAGTATGACGTAGGTAGTTAGCAACCACTGACTTCGGTCTCCTCCGGGACAAACGGGACGCTTAACAGCGTGGCCCGAGTGACGTGACGTCACACACACGTTCACTATCAATAAAACTAATACGATTTCAGTAAAGACAGGACTGGGCATAGTAATTCGACCACAACAATTTTAAAAATGTCTCTAAACAATGCAATAAACAAATGTCACACAGAAGAAAATAAACGAAATTAACACTTTCTATACAGCAGGGTGCATTACTAAATCTAACTGAACTGAAAGTATACACTAAATAAATACAACACGTTATTAAATACATTATCGTTTTTCGAAACTAATTAGACTTATTCAAGAATTATATAATCAAATTGCAAAATAGACTGTCGAAGTACACTTGTTCCCTCGGCGAGTCACCGTCGTCAGTTGGGGTCGGGGGATCGAATTCCAGTGTGGAAACTTTAGCTGTAAATTTGTATGTAAAATATTTCTATTTTACACTTTCCTTCTTCATTTCTATGAGCGATGATCAATACCTGTAAAAATATTACTCAACCCGATTAAAGCCCCACCTCTTCTTTCTTTCTTTCTTTCTTTCTTTCTTTCTTTCTTTCTTTCTTTCTTTCTTTCTTTCTTTCTTTCTTTCTTTCTTTCTTTCTTTCTTTCTTTCTTTCTTTCTTTCTTTCTTTCTTTCTTTCTTTCTTTCTTTCTTCTTTTTCTTCTTTTTCTTCTTCTTCTTCTTCTTCTTCTTCTTCTTCTTCTTCTTCTTCTTCTGCTGCTGCTGTCGCTTTTTCTTCTTCTTCTTCTTCTTCTTCTTCTTCTTCTTCTTCTTCTTCTTCTTCTTCTGCTCCACCTCCTCCTTTACTTTACTGTGCCTCCAGCTCCAACTTTACCCTCACAATTGGATGTACATAGCACTCATGCAGTTGCCCTCAATACCAGATTTTAATTAACTTTTAGCTGACATTCTATCGAAGTGCTACTTTAGTAAGGCTAAATCCGGTTACTTATGATAACGACTTCGAGACATTATAATTTATGACATACACATATATTATAAAGGAACATTCATTTGGCAGAAATCACGTGCAAGCTATGAAATATGTAAGCTGACAAGCTATGTCAAGCAGATCACAACATGAGACCTCCACGGTAAATTACTTATGAAGAAAACAACATAGACACACCTCGAAAGCAGTTATCAAAAACATCAATTCAGAATCCTATTGTTTCATGCTAATGACACGAAATGTTAAATCAAAGGGGGATTGATTTGCTATAAAAATGTCAACCAAGATTTCCAGTTAAACGTTAATAGTTGAGTAATCATTTCTACAAACACATATAGAGACAGATGAAATCAAAACCCAATATTTTCCCTTTAACTGTTTACACGAGACGCCATTAAGGCAGGCTTGAAGCAGTGTAAAACAGTTTGCAACAGTCAACAACATGTTGAGGTTCAACGTATGCAACGCATTAGAATAAGTACAGGGGGAGGGGGGGGGGGGGGTCGTTACACCCCCTCATACCCGAGAATCTCGATAAGGAGGAAGAGGAGAAAAAGCCAAGAATAATGTCTTCATTGACACCAAAGAAACAACACATCAAGGCATGTTCACTAGCATGTTTTAACTCGTTACTGAGGCAATAAACTAAACGACCTCATGAGAAATGTATATACATGCATTGATGAGCACTCGCATAAGTAGAGAACACAACAGAAATTTGAAGAAACAAATATATCGGACAACATAAACATTGAAAGCTGTAGCGACCATGTTAGTTAGTTGCGTATCCTTTACAGGACGTTGCAGAACCAACCCTAACAGCCCCTGGCTGTTGTGTGGTTTCTCTAGGCAATTTACATCCAGTAGTTTGCCATTGCTTTCTGGACGTTCGGCTTTCTTGATACCACTGTCGAAACCAATGCAAGGCGCATTGCCCGCAGCTGGGATCGAACCTGGCATCCCGGCATTACAAAAGCGAAGCGTTCGCATCGACTTAGCCACAGAGCCGACCAGCGACCATGGTAGATCTAAAATTACGACTATTGCCCTTCTGTGCGTATGCAGGTGCACGCGCGCACACAGCGACTGGATAGGAACAATATAATAGTTAAGCATTTTATAGACATTACAATATAAACAAGTATAAACAAGTAGAAAGACAAAATATGTTGTTGGCGACGCCTATATCCGTCCAGAACAAAACGCAAATGGCAAATTTCCCCTCGTTGTTCAGATGCCTTTTAATTTGTTTCGTTCCGTAATACAGCCCTTCTTGTCAATATTTTCTGGTTTCACATTGACCCTGGCTATTTATGAGGTCTGCTGTCCATTGAGTTTTCCAGTTAAAGTTTGAACTGTATTCAGTACTCCGTTGACAAAGACTTCGGTCAAAACGTTGGTTGTATATTTCTGTCTGTCTTTTCAGTTAACAGGATTGAGCTTTCTAATCACAGTCTATGCTGTTTGTGGCATTTCGGACTGGCAATTAAATTCAGCAGGAATAAGCGGAGATGTAATATTTAAATTAGAAAATACTCAATAAGGAAATTAAACAGTACATTGCAATGTTAACTTTGTCAGTTTTTTTTTTCATTCAAAGACTATTTTGTTATAATTTATAAATGTTGCACATTCTCATTACCTTTCTTATGGTCTATTTAATTATTTGTAGACATATCATCTATTTTTTGTTTTTATGGTGTTTCTTCTACTATTGTCTTTATTTTTAATAGATCAAGGAGATAATCTTTTTGTGCACACAGACATAATTATGTTTATACTTTTAAGAGCATCGTGTAATGGCTAAAAGTAGATTAACTAACATAAAGCATGCAGTTTTTAGAAATGCGTCGATACTAATAATAATATTAACAACAGTAGCAACAATAATAGTAACAATTTTATAGCATAACAACGAAAACGATGATAATAATAATAACAATAATAATAATAAATAATAATAATAATAATAATAATAATAATAATAATAATAATAATAATAATAATAATAATAATAATAATCTTTTAGTGCAAGCTGTGTTGTCGTTCTAGTCATGTTTATTCATACCTTTCTGTCTCGTGTACTTTCAGCCAATTCTGGCACAAACAAAAGCAGTTAAATTAGGGCACCTGTACATGAGACAGAAGGTTATGAACAGACATAGCTACCAACCAGCCAGGTAGAGCATCCAGTCCTAAGTGAAGGAGGACCTAAAACTACCTTGGGAATGACAAATGATGAAGCAGGGAGAAAAGGATATATTTTTTGGCAGGCGCTGATACGAATGGCGCCCTGCAGGAGAACTCCTACCTGATGATGATGTTGACATGGTATTCTAGGATCAGTGGCGTACTCTCAGATAACCAGTTGCAGAACCTTTCCTCAACATCAAACAATACCCACACCGTGTCTATACAGTAACATCCAGCATCATGCAAACAACACATCTTACCCATACTTACTTCAGTCCTGCTCCCACTCATAGTTAGATAAACACACGACAGACATACCTTTTCACGTGTACTTGCCATCCTGTTTGTGTAAACTTGCCGTCGTCACACTTCCCTTTAAAACTTGGCTTTGTCTAGAGCCATTTCCGCGATGGATAATTGATTCGGTTTATTGAATTAGGAATTATTTTAGTTATAATTCACCGAAGATGTACTTGTAAGGGATTTACGACCAATGGGCAAAGAAAAGGCAAGAAAATGTCAAGAAAGCTTGTTATTACAATATTTCCTGATAGAATAGACACAGAGGGATAATCTAAGCGCACTACTGGATTGAAATACGTCATGTGCATTTTACCTAATTTTGACTTTCACTAGAATACATTTAATGTACATTTCTTCATTCTGACCTTAAGTAGAATACGACCTATGAGTATTTCCTAATTTTTTACTTTAAGTGGAATACGTTCTTTAGCTATCCTCCAAATAACGGTCCCGAATTATCGAGACCGAAAATATACCATAACAGGGCCTCAGTCACGTGTAAATTGCGAACTTCCGGCGACTACCGTCACGGCCGAGGGTTTCTCTAGCGCCGCTACGCGCGATTACACGCGCGGCGCGGAGTGGGGCTAAACTAGATGGCTGGGACTCACGAGCAAATAAAATGAAGAAAACTGCAGGAGATGTGGTAGCTGCTGCTAGTGAGTCCTAGTCATCAAGTTTAACCCCACTCTGTGTTGGTAGTCGCCGGAAGTCCCAAATTTAATTCGCCGGAAGTTCGCAATTTACATGTGGATGATATACCCTGTTAGGGTATATTTTCGGCCTCGATAATTTGGGACCGTTATTCAGAGGATAGCCCGTTCTTTTTATACATTTTTTAGTTTTAACTTCAAGTAGAATGCGTTATGTTTATATATTATTTAGTTATATTATCAAGTTTTGAGCAACTTAAATGGTGCGTGGTAAATGATAAATTACAAGAAAATTAATTATCTATTCAATCTGTATTCACTTGTTAAAAATTATTGCTTGTCTAACTGGTACTAGCGAGATAAACTGTGAATTATTCTAGATATCGTAAATTTGACGTTTTTTTCCAGACATGACGACAGACAGAGGATGCTACAACCACTGCTCCTATAATGATTTCAGGAATGTTAATAATTAGGTCATCACTCACTTGCATTTGTGTAATCCATCATCATCATGTAGCAGGTTCTTTACAGAACGTCGCTCTCATCACAGTCTGCCTGAAAGAAACTCGGTCTCTCGCCAGTTCTCCAGCCTCATGTACTTTCATACTCAAGGAGTCACTTATATCCTGTGCCCATCTTCGTGTCGGTCGGCCCCTGCCCCTCCTTCCTGGTAGACAGGCTTGAAGCCTTCTGCGATAATTTATTACAAACCGTCGTGGCGCTTGATATAACCAAAATATTTCAGCTTCCGAGACAGGATGCTGTTTATTAGCCAATCTCTCTTGATGTTCAGATCTTTCAAGATGTCAATATTTCTCCTCTTCTTTGTCCAAGATATTCTGAGAATCTTTCTATAGCATTTCAGCTCAAAGGCCCCTATTCTCTTTCTTAATTTGTGTAATCCACAGTGTTCTAATTTCCATTATGACCAGTTTACAAGCGTTTTGTATTAATTATTAGTTTGTGTCAGTTTGTAACTGAAATATGCGCATATGACAAGATTTTACATTATTTGTTAGTCTGTGTAAATAACTGTTAAATGTGCAAAGTGCATGCTATAATGATATTTGTTAGCTGGTATACGTTTTAAAATGTTCAATCTGCGCAGTGCAAACCATTACATTTTTGAGGGATAACTGTAAGATTGTAAATGTTAAAAACGCCTAAAGTGCAAACTATTCAATGCAAACTCACCCAAAACCAGATAAATAAACAGTTCCAAATCTTCCAAAAACCAGGCGGTTAAAAAAGAAACGAAACAAAGCGAACTGTAAAGAATTAGTGAAGCGGAACTAATCAAATTAGGCTGACAAAACCAGGCTAAAGTGGTTTGGTAGAAAAAAAATGTGCCAGGATTAGGGATTCGAACTTACTATTCACCCCCGTAGAAGAGTGAGAAGTCCTGGAAGGTGAGCTTTAGCCGCTGACCCGGTTTGCCTTGCAGTTTATAGGAGCAGAAGAGGTTATCAGGGTAGACTCCGGGGTAGGTGGGAGACATGATATAGCCCTGCCGTTTGTTTTCACTGCGAATGGTGTAGCCACAAGTGTGGGGCGCCACTGTACCCATCTCATAGTGCACTGAAACAGAAGAAACTGCAGCCACTTTGGGATATCCACACTGTTCTAGCCTCGTGGGATTCTACTGTTACTGAATGTGTGTGTGTGTGTGTGTGTGTGTATGTGTGTGTGTATGTATGTGTGTATAGTTACAAATAATATCACTGTACTAGTCCGGTCGGGGTCTACTGTTACTAGATAATGTTTGTGTATTGTTACAAATAATACAAATTTGTTAACAACACAACTCTAGAATAGATTAAATGCACTTTTCTAGCATTGTGGGAGCCTACTGTTACTATATATGTACATGCATAGTTATAAATAATACAAATTTGCTAATAACAGTATTCTAGAATAGATTACAAACACTGTTCTAGCCTTGTGAGGGAATCTACTGTTACTAAATATATATGTATACCGTGTTTCCCCGAAAGTAAAACTAGCGCTTATATTAATGTTTGCTTAAATAATGTATTAGGGCCTAATATCGGGGAATATCTTTTTTTTTTTTTTTTTGTCAGACACACCAATCTACATTTATTCATGTACACAATTCTACATTTTTCAAACACAGACATGTCATGCTATTCTGTATTATCGTCAGCTGGAACATCAGGGGGAGACAATCTACATTATTTGTTCACATCAGGGGGAGACAATCTACATTATTTGTTCACATCAGGGGGAGACAATCTACTTTATTTGTTCACATCAGGAGTAGACAATCTACATTATTTATTCACATCAGGGGGAGACAATCTACATTGTTTGTTTACATCAGGAGGAGACAATCTACATTATTTGTTCACATCACGAGTAGACAATCTACATTATTCGTTCACATTAGGGGGAGACAATCTACATTATTTGTTTACATGAGGAGGAGACAATCTAAATTATTTGCTCACATCAGGTGGAGACAATCTACATTATTTGTTCACATCAGGAGCAGACAATCTACATTATTTGTTCACATCAGGAGTAGACAATCTACATTATTCGTTCACATTAGGGGGAGACAATCTACATTATTTGTTTACATGAGGAGGAGGCAATCTAAATTATTTGCTCACATCAGGTGGAGACAATCTACATTATTTGTTCACATCAGGAGCAGACAATCTACATTATTTGTTCACATCAGGAGGAGACAATCTACATTATTTGTTCACATCAGGAGCAGACAATCTACATTATTTGTTCACATCAGGAGGAGACAATCTACATTATTTGTTCACATCAGGAGAAGAAGAAACATGATGAGTGCATCATGATGGTGGGAATGTTGGAGAGGAAAAGAGGCAGAGGTAGATTGAGAGAGAAGATGCTGTACAGTTCGACATCATAGCATGGAAGATAGTGTCTGTTAGAACTGGGCGAAGGTATAGGAGAAAGGAGATTGTGGACAGACATACCTACCAACGCCACACAGTATGGACTATTAGAAGAAGAAGAAAATCAATAGTTCTCTACAACGTATAAAACACCACTGTTTAGGTTACCAAAATGCACTCCTGCTTTCCAATGTGGTTATTGGTCGTTGTACAACAGAAGTGCAGCGTCAGTGGCTGGCTTAGGTGTTGCGAGTGCGACTCGTAATTCCAACATACTGGGTTCAAAACCCACTGCTGGCTGCGTGGATTTTTATCATGGTATGGGGCGTCGCAGGTCGACCCAACCTAAAATGGGTACCAGGATCTATTTCCGGGGAATGTAAAGACCATTTACCCACCCAGTGCCGACTGGTCTGTAAAAATATGGGTGCTCTTCTCATATGCCCAATGCGTCTAGAGGGGTGAAAATGGATCTTTACTTTCCTTTATATATATATTATATATATATATGCTATATATATATATGCCCGATATATGTATATATATATGAATATATATATATATATATATATATATATATATATATATATATATATATATATATATATATATTATATATATATATATACATATATTTTTATATATATATTACAACAGAAGTAGAAGTAGTATTTGTAAAAGGAGAAGAAGTTGTCGCATCAGAAGATTTACGAAGAAATCCCTTATATTGCCATCAAGTCATTAACTCTTATATCCAACAATTGAAAATGTAAATAGCGACCTCGTACCTGCATCGATAAACTCCCAGGTGCCATGGAAACCACCACTGGTCTTCTCCTCGTTGGAGTAAAACCAGATGACGAGGACATTCCGAGTGGACACAACCAGCTTGGGCAGATCTTCTTTGGTGTCTCCACAGAACGGGCCGGACATCTCGGCGTCCAGGAGGTCGTCTGATTCGTGCTTGAGCTGCGAGTAGATGTTGACAAAGTCGTTGGCGCATCTGTGAATAGGAAAACGCAAACGGATCTCAACAGAATGCTTCAAGTACATGTGTTGCTGCATCAGAACAAAGCCGTCTCTAGCATGTTGAAGACTGCTTCAATCAGAACCAGGGCTCATCAAGGATCGATCTTCACCAGGGCTGGATTTAGACTTGATGAGGCCTTTAGCTATGTTAGGTAATGAGGCTCCTTCTGTTTACAAATTACACCGGTTAATCTCATAAAACTTTGACATATGGGTGAGTTTAATAAAAAAGTGGGCGTTGACCAGATCAAGCTGATTATTTTATTGAATTTCAACAGACGACAACAAACTTAGAATACTGAAAAGCCTAATAAAATGTACTAAACACAATATTAATATTAACGAGGAATATTTCTGGGAAATATATGTTAATAATTTGTAAGAACAATTGTAAAGCCCCTTTAGATTATGAGGCCCTAAGCTGTGGCTTACTTCCCTCGGTTATCCCAGAAACAGCTTCCCAGCAGACAGCCTATCCAACGAAGACAGGGTCCATGTTGCCTTTGAAGTTAGAGTGCGTCTGACTGAGTGGCGAGAAACCAACAGTCTGCACACAAACAAGCAAGATTTAATTCCTGGAGCAAACTAAAATCAAAACGTTGAGAAACAATCAGAACTTTCAACACAGGTGAGATCTCAAAGAGGTTGCCTTTGAAAAATCGAATAACGCAGTCCAAAAACAAACCGGCGATCTTCCGATTGGCGGGGCAAACAATTTGACCCCCTCGCCACGAACATGGTTCCAAAGGATCAGCAACACTTCACATGTCCCTAGTCCTGGTTCTCTGGGACACACTTGCATTACCAGCTCTTGTTTAGATCATCCCACTTGTATCGCTGTCTACCACGGGCGCTGAAACATGGGGGACTCAACACCTTGCGGCCCACCACCATATTGCGAAAGAGGGAGGCGACTGAGGCCCCCCCCCCCCCCCAAAAAAAAAAAAACTCTGTTAAAGAGGTATCATTTCTTTTCAAGTATTTGTTGATACATTTCATAATATTTCAAATACAATATCATTTTTTTTTTTTTTTTTGCCATTACTGCTGGGACTGGCCGTGGTACCAATCAATCTTCTTCTTCTTTTTAGCAGTTCGAGCCCTTGAGGTTCATTGCTGCAGATGTCACCCGCCTGCCGCACTCATCTCTCTAGTTGGCCTTCTCTTTCCAGATGGTGTCACTAAGTGTTTGCAGGTCTGTCTGGACGTTATCTCTCCATCGTCTTCTTGGTCTGTCTCGTGGTCTTCGACAATTCAGCTCCATTGTATGTACAGATTTAACCTCTCTGGTACCAATTTTTGTTTAAGCATCCAGAAGCCACCAGTTGTTAACCCTTAGGCTCGGTATTATGGATGTCGCAACCCTTCGGCCTTGATTCCGTGATAAATACCCTAAATCTGGAAGAAATGTGGCTTGTCCGCCTACCCCCGGGCGTGAACCCGGACCACAAGGAGTTCGTCACCAGGTCACCGCGCAGTATATATATATATATACACATAAACTAGCGGACACTTACGTTGGTGGTCTCCCCTGGAGGGCAAAGTAGGTAAACTGTATCTTGACCCGCTGATTGCTTCTGCCAATGAACTTGTACTTACAACTGACACCGTTGGGGTAGTGGTTGGGGTATCCTGGGGATTTGAACTCGCCCTCTGTTTCACTCAGCTGGTAGCTCGCAAACACTTTGTCACAGTCTGTGGACAGAACGATGGAACCTAAAGTATTTTTGATGGAAAACCTCGTCAAACGAAAGACTCACAGAGAAGTTACAAACGTTTCTACAGAAGTCTTTGTGAAGAGTACTTGAAAAATAAATTTGAGAATCGCAGGGAAATGAGATTAAAAGTGAAGAGAGGCTCGCATGTACGCCCGTGTATGTATAAGTGAGTCCATGTGTATTTATGAGTGTTTGCATGTATATGTATGAGTGTGTGCATGTTTATGTATGAGTGTGTGCATGTGTATGTATGAGTGTGTGCATGTGTATGTATGAGTGTGTGCATGTGTATGTATGAGTTTATGCATGTGTATGTATGAGTGTGTATGTATCAGTTTGTATGTGTATGCATGAGCATGTGTGTGTATGTATATGTGTATGGTATGTATTTATGTAATGTCTGTCTGTCTGTCGGTCGATCGGTCGGTCGGTCGGTCGGTGTGTGCGTGCGTGTGTGTGTGTGTGTGTGTGTATGTATGTATGTATTTATGAATATAGACTGAAGTATATGCATATGCCATTTATGTTGTGCGTGTTTACTAAATATATATATATATATTTCCGGGTTTGATCCCAGCTGCGGACGCTTTGTCTTGCGTTGGTTTTGACAGTGCTATCGAGAAGCCGACCGTCCACGATGCAATGGCAAACTACTGGACGCAAACTTGCCTAGAAAAACCACATCAACCAAAAATTGCTGCAGTTCGTTAAGCAACGGCCTGTAAAAGATATGCAACTAACTTGAAAAATATTATTCATTTGCTGCTTCGCCCCCTTGACAAGAACCACAACTCTTACCAGGAACAACTATTTTCACAGGCTAATTTTGCTTGTCTCCCTTGCTATTGTGTGTAAGGTTATTGTAGACTTTAAACCTATTTCTGTGTGAACCAGAAGCGTCGACGCAAACAAAACACTGGGGCAGCTCTCAAACATTTCTGGAAAAAAGGGAGGGGGGGGGGGAAACTGTCCAAGAAGGTTTAATTCTTGATTAAATGTTTACTTCTACCACCACCACCTCTGTTGCTACTGCAAGTGCCACTGTTTCTACTATTGCTACAACAACTACTTCTACTACTACTACTACTACTACTACTACTACTACTACTACTACTACTACTACTACTACTACTACTACTACTACTACTACTACTACTTATAATTATAATATGGTTCTGAATGGCAAATACAAATAACAATGTTTGAAAAGATTACCGGGAATCCCCATTTACGAAGCCCACAAATAGGCACTTTTCTATACACCGCAAGGTACAAGAGGATCAACATGAGATGATGAGATACGTTTGAAATCAGATGATATGTGTAATAAATAATACATTCTTTTATGATAAATGAGAACTACTATGTGTGCTTTTAGACCTTATGCACAACTGGAAGATGGAACTGACAACATTAATTTGGGAGGCAAAAATGGTGTTCAGAAAGGGGGGTGGGATGAGACCTTGCACAATTATGAGGAGGTTGGGGGGGCGCTGAGTTAATGGTTGCATCGCCCCTGATGGAAACATCCTTGCCCGAGATACAACATGAAAGTCTGTTCCTGCAGCAAAAAGCACTGTTGCTTGTTGATGCTTTCATGTAGTTGTCTATTTTCGTACTTGCCAGGTAAGTATTCAGTTGGTGCTTGTGGATTATAGCCAAAAATAAGAACAGTAAACACGTTGTCGCATACCATTGTTGCTTTAACGCGTTACACGCAAAACCACATATAGGTAAATGTAAATATAGGTCTACAATGAAATGCCTACAGCCTGTGGGGACATGATTTCTTCCAGCCAGCAAGTTCCCGCCCAGTGTGAAAAGTTCCAGAGCCGGTATTGAAAGCCTCACTGGTTTTATTAGTTTGAAGGGAACGAGAGCTTTGCACAGAAGTCTCCAAAAGAGTTGGTAATGTGGGGCAGAGTCGAGACAAAAGTCAGTTAACCAACGACCCAAAGACAAAACAACTAACCATTTAGGAATCGACTTATCAGTTAACCAATCAGCCTACTGACCAACCAAGAAAACCTACAACCTACAACCGACCAAACATACGTCGCCTGACTGACTGACCAGGCAATCATTCAGCGAGATGATAGACCAGCCAACCAATCAGCGAGCCGACGGACAAGCCAGCCAATCAGCGGGCCGACAGACTCAGCCAACCAATTAGCGAGCCGACGGACAAGCCAGCCAATCAGCGGGCCGACAGACTCAGCCAACCAATCAGGGAGCCAGCAGACCGGCCAACCAAGAACTTGCAACCGACTAGCTAACAAAGGAATCAACGAATCAACCAACCAGCCGGCACATGGACCGGCCAACCAAAAACTGATTAACCAGCCACGTGACCCTAAACCTAGGTCCACCCAGCCTAAATTGGGTCCCATAATATCTTCCAGGACCCAGTTTTTCTCGCGTCAGATTGATCATGTCACTTATCGAGCATGGTTATGTCTATATTCAAATATAATCCCCATCTTACAAACCCAAAAAAATCGCCTTCAGAAGTAGACAAGAACATGTACAATTATTGTAACTGCAACTGTAATATGTAAGTTCTTCTTCTTCTCAGTAGCGTTGACCGGACTGTAAACTAATATATTTTGTTGTTCGTCCACTCTTGGACTTTGGTCTTGATCCAGAAATTGAGTTTTGCGTTTCACAGACCTGGCTTATGTGTATGTAGACTGCTGGCTCCTTGTCTCTCTCAGATTGATGCACTCCGACTTTGAATGAAGCGCCCCTAATTAGTCGGCTACTACGACATGCTTAGTGTACGACCCCGGAAAAAGGAGGGGGGGGGGAGAGCCATTGTTAAAAAAATTTTGTACAAAAGTGACTTTTCGTTCAGAATGACGAAAAGGCCAGGAAAGTAATATTTCCTTCTCTCCACCGAAAGATGCCAAATCTTGACTGCCAGTTTGGTGGACCATTATTAAATATCGGACATTTACGCGCAGAAGCTAGAGAAAGAAATCACCGATTTTCTAGACGCATCACAAATACACCAGACCGCTTGCTCTTGTTAGTCACGCGGGGTTGCTAACAAAATTTGGTTGTCATGAGCACAGAAAACTGGCAAGAATTGGTCTGACGCGCGAATTAACCCAAGTATCCAGGACTGTACAGATGAATGACAGCAGGAGGCAGCCGGAGAAGCAAGGGTGAATCCGTGATTGTGGCGTGATGGCGATAAAATAGTGACTAGACCATCCTGAAGATCTATCTACAGATTAGGAATTTGGGGTGTAGT